GTGGGTGGAGGCACAGATGCAGATGGCCTCCAGCTGCTGCAAAGCAAATGTGGCTCTCTTCAAGCCACCGTCTAACACAGCCCTTGGAGTATTTACAGGCTCTGTAGCAGGGGGAGGAGAGCCCAATGGGAGAGGTCAGAGCAGAGCCATCTTGGGACTTGCCATAGTGGATTTTAGCTTCTCCATATCAGTCGATGCAGCTAAAGAGTTACAGGATTATTTTCAGGAGATAAGAGTTGCTCGTCAGTACAATGAGGGCCTGATGTCCCCAAAGCCTTCTTCCAGCTCTTATCTTCTAATCCAGTCATATAGTATGTGCCAGGAAGATGTGTTAGTTTTCTGTGCTGGTAATAAATTACAACCTTAAGTGACATACAGTAAAACCCACTTATCTCAGTTACTGTGGGTCAGGAGTCTGGGCAGGGCTTAGCTCCTGGGTCTCACTGGGCTGATCCAGGTGTGGGCCGGGGCTGTGGTCTCATCTGAGGCTCAACTGGTTAAAGATCCACTTNAAGATGTGTTAGTTTTCTGTGCTGGTAATAAATTACAACCTTAAGTGACATACAGTAAAACCCACTTATCTCAGTTACTGTGGGTCAGGAGTCTGGGCAGGGCTTAGCTCCTGGGTCTCACTGGGCTGATCCAGGTGTGGGCCGGGGCTGTGGTCTCATCTGAGGCTCAACTGGTTAAAGATCCACTTCCACGCTCCCTTATATTTTTGGCAGAATTCCTCTCCATAGGCCCTCTCTCAGCATGAAAGCGTACTTTTCCAAAGCCAGCAACGGGAGTCTCTCCCTCATTGGTTCAAGTGGAATCTTCTATGACATATCACCTTTGCCATGTTATCAGTCTTGCTAGTGTGCTCACCAAGGCAAAAAGAAAATATATTTTAAAACAAATCCGGTTGTGTCTAAGGAACTGAAATCACTCTGGTCACATGCTGCGAGTAGTTCTTAGAATAATGGAAAAGGACTAAAATCTTAAACTTGTCCATGGCCATATTTAAAAAGTGCTGATGTCATAGGTTTGGGGTTTTTAAGTTTCTCTCTTTTTCTCTCCTTTTTTCCCTTTAAGTAAGACTAAGATTAGTGAATTAAAGTTTTTATCCTGGTTGATGGAGAGAAACGATACCCTGCCATTATATCCAGGCTTTTGTGAAAAGGCAGACTAGAATGAACCCTGAGGGGACAGCAGATTTTAACCTTTGGTTTCTTCTCCAGGTTTCTCACTGTGTGGAAGGGACTGGATGATGTAACCTGCTCTCCAGGAAGCCCCACTTGGCCATAACCTCAGGAAGGTCTCAGACCCCATCTCATTTCAAAGCCACTTCTGAAGCCACTTGAGAAGAATGATGTGACAGGTCTATCAGAAAGGATTCTTCGGAAACATAGAGCATCTGTGAAGAAAGTGGCCATTTTTCTCTTTACTGANCTCTCCAGGAAGCCCCACTTGGCCATAACCTCAGGAAGGTCTCAGACCCCATCTCATTTCAAAGCCACTTCTGAAGCCACTTGAGAAGAATGATGTGACAGGTCTATCAGAAAGGATTCTTCGGAAACATAGAGCATCTGTGAAGAAAGTGGCCATTTTTCTCTTTACTGAAATAAACATTCTCAAATTCCAAAATGCCAGCCAAGACCCCAATTTACCTGAAAGCTGCCAATAACAAGAAAGGAAAGAAATTTAAATTGAGGGACATTTTGTCTCCGGATATGATTAGTCCTCCCCTTGGAGACTTTCGCCACACCATTCATATTGGCAAAGAGGGCCAGCATGACGTCTTTGGAGATATTTCCTTTCTTCAGGGGAACTATGAGCTTTTACCGGGAAACCAGGAGAAAGCATACACAGGCCACTTCCCTGGGCACAACGAGTTCTTACGGGCCAACAGCACCTCGGACTCTATGTTCACAGAAACGCCTTCCCCAGTGCTCAAAAATGCCATCTCTCTCCCAACCATTGGAGGGTCCCAAGCTCTCATGTTGCCTTTATTGTCACCTGTGACATTTAATTCCAAACAAGAGTCCTTTGGGCCTGCAAAGCTGCCAAGGCTTAGCTGTGAGCCGGTCATAGAGGAGAAAGCTCAGGAGAAAAGCAGTCTGTTGGAGAACGGGACAGTGCACCAGGGAGACAGCTCATGGGGGTCCAGCGGTTCCGCATCTCAGTCCAGCCAGGGCAGGGACAGCCACTCCTCCAGCCTGTCCGAACAGTACCCCGACTGGGCGGCCGAGGACATGTTTGACCATGCTGCTCCATGCGAGCTCATCAAGGGAAAGACCAAATCAGAAGAGTCTCTCTCTGATCTTACAGGTTCCCTCCTCTCCCTGCAGCTTGATCTTGGGCCCTCACTTCTAGACGAGGTGCTGAATGTCATGGATAAAAATAAGTAACAGGATGCCAGCTCTTTTCCTTTGGGGTGAAAGGCACCAAAACAAAACAAGACAAAACAAAAATACTAAACTAACCACAGTTGAAGGGAAGAGCTTCACTGGCTGTATTTGCAGTCGTGTGATGGGTTTTCTAAAGTAACCTTCCTACAAAATATTTTTTTACCTGTTATGCCCTGTTTGCAAAAACAGTTTAGAAAAACAAACCTGTCCTGGCAGAAGGAGGAAGTGAGTCAGAGCCCATTTTCGGTGGGCATTGCTGAGGTTCAGCTCACATTTTTTGCAGACATGTAAGAAAGCTGCCTTGGCCAGGATTGGCACTAGCTATGAAGGGCTGGGTGAGTCACATTAAGGAACTTTACAGTACTCCAACATTTTCTGAGCAAGAGGAAGTCAAAATTTATTTAACACCTAAGCCTTTTTTCTAGACTCTTTTCTATATTATATTGTTTGGGCTCACAAAAGCAAATTCTCTGTTGTTAAAACTTTTCTCCGTTTTCACATTTGAACAACTTTATGGGTTTGGGGGATTTTCTTGTAGTTCTTATATATCCTGTTATATTATATCTATATTGCAAAATTTTGACTGTCAGCTACGTGTTGGTAAGACACAAGCAAAGTATTACTGTAACTAAGTTATTTTTAAAGTTAAAATATATTTTTATGTGCCTTTGGCTTTTTATTGCAGAGTCTACATTTTATAGATAAAACATCAAATGTTGTCATTCGACTTGTTTCCTTTGGGGTTCCATTGTAAGCTGTGTATGTGTGTGTTTGGAAAAGTGTATTCATACTTAGCTTTATTTTTTTTTCTTCATCTGTTGTCATACTTCTAACAGCAGCCAACAATGGATTGTAACATGTAAAGGCACGGGCTACTCATGATTTTTCTGCAGAGACTGTGGGCTAAACCACATAATGTTTGGAAATATGGGTATTTTAGTACAGTACATACTTGCATTACATAGGTACTTCATACAACACAATAAAAAGTAAATGTTAAAATGAACTTGCTCGTTTATAGTAGTAAGAACATAAGAGATGTTTTTTGAAGTCTAGCTAGACAAATTGCTTTTCCAAAATGTACATGAACCTTTAAAATAATGTAAGTGATGATTTTAATCCACTGTGTAATTTCGATTATTTCTTTAAAGTTTGAGATTCTAGGAACAAGACCCCTCAACTTTAGGAAAAATGAATGTGTGAGATCAGAATCTTTTTTTTTTTTTCCAGTGTCAACACTAATGCCAGCCTCTCAATGCTCATTTCTGTGTATCCTCTCCTTTACATTAACAACCTCTATGGCAAGCCCTTGCAAGCCCAGTCTCATCCCTGTAGGACAAATGTTTGTGCACCAAGCAGATACCATAGAGACAAGATTAAAGAAGCTGAAAAGAGGGCAGTAGAGAGCACCTTCCCCCACCCCAAGGAGCCAAAGATGCCCTGAGGGTATTGGTTAAGGAAAAGGGAACAGTAAGTGTACACAATGATTCCTGTCCCTATGTCAAACATCCTTCCTCCTCAAAGAAAATCATTTGCACACAATAACTGCCAGTGCTGTCTCTCAAACTTTCATTTCTCCTTGCAAAGTACCCTGAAGAGATGACCTTCCCAACCACTTCAGTGATTCATTCACTGGGTTTGGAGTTGCTAGAATTTTATCATCTGAAATAACCTTTGAACTGCAGGTGAAATGCACCGTAGGATGATTCACCAAGTAGAGGGAACAAGTCTTCTCAGAGCATTGAGTGCTTTCCTAATTTCCCAGTTGTGTTTCTTTATCCCATGACTATCCAGTGTTCTTTTTCTCTTGGGCCAAACCCCACTCACAGTTCACAGTTCTCAGTTCCAGAGACTTCCCAGCCTCTTGTATATCTTGTTAATGAGAAAGATCCCAATGTATCTCATACTTTGCAGCCAGTTTTAGCCAGACTCTTTGAACACTTTCCTCCATCATAATTATTATTGATCATATTCAGTCTCTCATTTTACTCTTCTTCTGTAGTGTGACCTCAAGGAAAAGATTAATCTGTTAGGTGAAAGGAGGAGGAGGAAGACCGTGTCTGTGTGCATTTTCTCTGCTCCCTCTCTGGTAAGCATGGAGAACAGCTCTGCCAGTACTGGGTTTGTTTGATATTGTCTAAGTAATCATGCATCCTGCATGTGTTCAGCCATTTTACTTTCTTCGAGCTTTTTCACATGCACGCATCCTCTCCCTTTAGGTTAGGTGCAGTTGAGATGGCAACAAATATGCCCCTATTAGAAAGAGGAAACAAAGCCACATCCGGCTTCTAAATGATTTTGTTGCGTCAGTTCTCCCCTGGCAGCCTGTCTAATGCTTGTCCCTTCTCCAGAGCAGGTGCACAGCTGGTGATGGCTTTCTCTCCTGCAAAGAGGCACTTTAGACTCACCTGCTGAGATCCGGATTGATGTTCTCAGCCAATGAACGTTCTCCCACATTTAACCTAATTTATCTTCACTTGTTTAAAGATAAGGAAACCCAAGATGCACTTTATTTGAAAATTCAAAAAGAATGGCAAGCCGCCTGTGACCCGAAGAGACCACGCAATTTGTATAAGTAGAGACCCTTCTTGAGGTAGGCAAGGTTCTTGTGGGCGATCTTTTCCCTGGGCAGTGAGACTTCATGAAGCACAAGCTGTATTTCTGCCTAAGAAAAAGAGAAAAAAATTGCTTAAAAAGATCAAAATATCTGGGTCTTTAGCTCTTCACAAATATGAAGCCATTAATTATCACATTCCAGTGAGCGAAAATCACTGTCAACAAGCACACACAATAAACTGGTTGAACAGAAAAGAAAATCTGGTTCACCAGAATCACAGTGTAGTCCCTTTTTATATTACTGCAAGCTACCTTTTTTTCTTAGGGCTCCTCATGAGCACTTGAAGTTAATGGAATGAAGGAAACCTATGAGTCTGTGAATTAACTTGATAAATATTTTAGAACAGACAAAATTATATGGTAGGTGATGGCTCTAATCCTCCTGATATGGAGCCCAGTGAGACCAAAACATTATACTGTGAAATATATAAACACCTTGGAATGACTCAACATGATGGTCTCTCTCCAATGTGAGTTTTTCTTTTGGAAATTAGTCCCAAATTTGGCAGTTATAATAAAATTCTAAGGTTTTGGAATTAGTCCACCAGGTTAATTTTAATGATTGACCCTATTTTTTCTTAGACAAATAAGCCACATAAGTAGAATTATTGGGTGCTGCCCTGGGTCCCCACCCACACTCTTGGGCCAGATCAAGCAACAGAAGAGAAATTTCCAGATGCCAAGTGATGAGCCACCATTGACTGAGCCAGATGGGAAGCCTGGTTTATTTGGCTGTATAAGATTCAAGAAGCCATGTTACTCAAAACTATTTTCACAAATTAACTTATTGTTACTGGCTAACCAAATACATTTATTTTCTAGTGAAGAGGATGGTCTCTATGGTAGATTTATTGACACTTTCTATAACTAAAACATCATGTGCTTTATTCTAATGGTACACCATTTCATCCAGCAAGCTTTCCATCTGAGAATTTTTACCAAATACATTTATTTTCTAGTGAAGAGGATGGTCTCTATGGTAGATTTATTGACACTTTCTATAACTAAAACATGTGCTTTATTCTAATGGTACACCATTTCATCCAGCAAGCTTTCCATCTGAGAATTTTTAATTTTCCCCTTATTTTTTGGGCAAGTAGGTCTAAATATTTCTTGAATTGTCAGGGAGCCATTATTTTGTGGTAAAATGCTACAATGAATGTTACATGGAAGAATGGGAACTATGCTTATTTCCTGAAGTGATGTGTAACACAATGACATCGGCTTTACAACTACTGTGCTGCATTTAATTATCTTCCATTTTTACTTTAAAAAAATCTGATAGTGATGTCACTTCTGTTGGCTTCTAGGGGGGGTCAACAATCTTCATCCTTTGAAGGTCAGCCAAATTTCCATCATGGAAAGCAGATTGACATGGGTGATAGATGAAAACGTCTGCCCAAATCAAAGCCATTGTGTGGAGTTAATATTTCAGAGACTCATGCAGACAGAGATGTGTGCTGTACCTCAAAGTTAGGAAAGCTGAATAAGTGAAGTGGGTATTATGATCACCATAAAATGATTATTGGGTTATGTCAGAAAGCATGTGTGATTCATTGCCAAAAGGATCATTGTGAAAAAAGCTTTGAATTCTGGGGAGGGAGATAACTGGGGTAGCTTCATGGAAGAGGACCAGAAGGGGACCTCAAGGGATTAATGAGGTGCTTTTAAGGCAGAAGGGGTATTCTTGAGAGGAAGATTATGAGCAAACAAAAGGATACACTCCCACCTAGTAGGGTTTCTACTCAAAACAATCCAGGAATAGCAACTGGAGTAAAAAACGCTCACATTCACATCTGAAAGATTGCACTCACTCCTGAGAAAAGTCTCCCAGTGGAACAAGAAAAGACTCTTAGAGTCAGACTG